CCGTTGGTGTTGTGGACAGGGGGAACACGCTAACTACAGAGAACACGCTAACTACAGACAAAATGCTAACCAGGGGGACCACGCTAACTCCAGACAACATGCTTACCAGTGGGAACATGCTAACTACAGACAACATGCTAACCAGGGGGACCACGCTAACTCCAGACAACATGCTAACCAGGGGGAACATGCTAACAACAGACAACATGCTAACCAGGGGGACCACGGAGAGACAAAACCTGACGCCAATTTATGACACGGAATACAAAGAAGAAGAGGAAGATGAAGAAGAGGAAGATGAAGAAGAGGACGTTTTTCTGAGAACAGAGGACGAGTGGAGTGAGGAAGAACTACAAACTCCATCCCCCACAATGCACCAGCACACTCCTCAATCACATGACAGCCACTTTGGCGAGGAGGAGGAGCCTAGCTGTCCAATAGGACAACAGGATGCAGCTCAGGAGGCGGGGCTACGGGGAGAGGTACCTCAGGAGGCGGGGCTACAGGGAGAAGAGGATTGTGGGAAATGTAGTTTGGAGCAGCAGCTGCAGCAGACGGCAGACAGACTGAAGACAGAAATGCAGACAGACAGGTGGACAGAGAGACAGACAGACAGGTGGACAGAGAGACAGACAGGTGAGCCTCTAACCAGTAACTTTATATTTGATCAGGTTATTATATTTGTTTGTACCAGAACAGCGTGTGCACATGAAGCTTTATTTTGTTAGATATTTGTTTCTGACTTCCTGTGTGCAGGTGAGAGGAAGTGGGCGGGGCTTCAGCTGTCAGCCGAGCAGGTGGGCGACTCCATCCTCTGCCTGGTGGACGCTGTGAGAACTGAACATAAACACTGATAACATTTACACTCAGAACATGTGTTACAGCTGCCGACAGGATGACGGGTGCACTTCATGTATTTGTTTAAATGATAATGAAATCCAATTGAATGACCTTTTTCTTGTTTTAAAAAATAACTATAACTTTATTAAATGTCCAGAGTTCCTGTAAACCTTTATAAACATATTAAAGACCCCCCTCTGAATAATACATTCATTATTAATTATATGATCTCTCACAGAGAATACAGATATTACATTTTATTTTGAAGGGCAGTTACCCCGGCGGCCCCTCCCCCTACGGGAGGGAGGGAGGGGGGCCGTCTGAGAGGTTTTCCTGAGGGGGCGTGGCCTCTCCCCCCTGCTGTGAGGGGGTGGGGCTTTGATCCTGGAAGGCCCCTCCCCCTCAGTGTTCAGGTCCGGACTCAGACTGCGGAACAGCTGACGGACACAGGGAGGGTGGGGGCATGAAGGGGTGGGGCCTCGGGAGGGGGGCGGGTGCTTCAGGATGCGGTTGCTGGTTGGGTTGTAGAAGCGGATAGGAAGTGGTTTGTATTTGACTTTGGACCCCTGACAGGCCTGCGGGCGCCTCTTCCTGCAGCGCCGGGGGGCGGAGCCTGTGTATAGGGGTATAGGTGAGTGGGGGGGGGCGGGGCTCAGCAGGTAGATCAGGGAGCTGTGCGGCTGCAGAGGAGTCAGGATGTCGTAATACTCTGCAGGGAGGCAGCGCCACGACGCAGGGGTCCTCTCGGCTTCCTGATTGGCTGCTGGCACTCCGGAGGGCGGGGCCTCTGACTGACGGACAGCTGGGACGACCAACCGGACGGTCTGAGTGCTGCGACTCACCTTCACCACCTGCAGGAACACAGACAGGTGAGGAGGACCCCCCCTCTGTCTCACCTTTACCCGAACCCCCCCTCTGTCTCATCTTTACCCGAACCTCCCCTCTGTCTCACCTTTAGCCGAACCCCCCCTCTGTCTCACCTTTACCCGAACCCCCCCTCTGACTCACCTTTACCTGAACCCCCAATCTGTCTCACCTGGCACCTGGACGCCACTCTGAAGCCACGCCTCCTCCTGACGCACACATGCTCATCACCGTCCAATAGGGGCTGGAAGCCGGGGTCAGACTCCGCCTCCAGGTTCTCACCTCCACCTTTCTGGATCTGACTCCGCCTCCTCCCGTACCTGAGGGGGAGTCAGTGAACTATAGGTGTGTGGTACAGGTGTGTGGTACAGGTGTGTGTGTGGACAGGTGAGTGTGTGTACAGATGTGTGTGTGGACAGGTGAATGTGTGTACAGGTGAGTGTGTGTTCAGGTGTGTGTGTACAGGTGAGTGTGAACAGGTGAGTGTGAACAGGTGAGTGCGTGAACAGGTGTGTGTTACCTGGCCAGTGACTCGGAGTCGAAGTAGCAGAGGAAGGCTCCGCCCCTGAACTGCCTCACCAGCCTCTCCACCTGCTCCTCGTCCTCCAGGTGAATCTGGTTCCAGCTCTTTCCCCTGAAGGATTCTGGGATATGTTGAGGCGCCGGCAGCACTTCCTCTATGGGCAGAGACAGGAAGCCATCGTTCCGCCAAGCCCCGCCCCCCTGGAGGGTGGAGTCCAACCGGGCGGAGTAGAGGTGCTGCTGCAGGTGAGCCTCCATCAGGTGAGCCTCCATCAGGTGGACCTGAGCCTCCGTCAGCCGGCACAGGTCCTCCCGGCTCACCTGCACAGATGTGTCCTCCAGGCCTCGCTGTGGATAAACACACACAGTGAGAGGTGTGACCCGGACCCTACCTGCTGGTTCTGCTGCACCTACCTGCACAGGTAAGTCCCATCCCTCACTCTGCGTCTCCATGGAGACCGGTAGGCTGAAGTGGAAGCTGTCTGAGGAGCCGTGACAACACACCTGGATCACCTGAAACAAAGAGAACACCTGTTACCACGCCTGAGAAGATCTGGATCACCTGAAACACAGAGAACACCTGTTACCATATCTGAGAACACCTGACACACACACACACACACACACACACACACACACACACACACACACACACACACACACACACACACACACACAGACACAGACAGACAGACAGACAGACAGACAGACAGACAGACAGACAGACAGACAGACAGACAGACAGACAGACAGACAGACAGACAG